CTCCTGGATTTTTAGCTAGATCAAACTTCAAAGTGTCTATAAGTCTATTTTTCAATATGAATGAATACGCCAAATTGAATTTTTAGCTAGATCAAACTTCAAAGTGTCTAAGTCTATTTTTCAATATGAATGAATACGCCAAATTGAATTGAATATGCTGATGGTCATAGAAAAAGGTTGAGTCACAGGTTATTAATTGATGAACAATATTGCCTTGGGACAACCGTCAAGCAGTACTAATCAGAAATAAATGTTTATTGACTTTTAAAGCAATAAACCAGCTATGGACTTTTCAAGCTCGAGAAAATCACTAACTGAAAATTGAGAGCTCCAACAATAAAGGCAAATTGTTGTTGGCTTGAGTTTTTTCCATCAATAATTTGGATCGAATTTTTTACATCAATACTTTGAAACTATTAGAACTTTAAAGCACATCAATACTTTTACATCAAGTTGTTATTTTCATATGCAGTTGTCAGCTTTTCTCTGTATTTTTCTTTTCTTTGTTGTTTTTTGGTTTTTCGTTTGACTTGATGTATATCATACATTGAACTTGTAGTTTTGTGACTTTTCGGCCCATTTAGAGCATTTTATATACAGGTTGGGGGTTTGGCCTTAACCCCCACCCTACTGGGATGTTGGTTAAAAAAAAAATTGTCGTTTGCCTTTCCCATTCTAGGCTCAACAAACATGTATATACATATGTATGTATGGGTGTTGGAGTAATGTGCCATTCAACAGTGAAGAAGCTCTTGTAGACACTATGCTTGAATACAAGAATTTTTGTTTTGTTTGGATTTTTTAGTTTATTTGGTTAATTTTGAAAAATATGATATAATTAGTGGTCAGTGGGTATATTAAAATAGTATTTATATAATAATTAAAGTTGATTTAATGTAAAAGTAGAAGATATATGATTTGAAGTGATGATTAGTTATGATCAGTTAAAATTATGTGAGTGGATGAATAGTGAATTAAAGTTGGTGTGATGTGTAAGAATGATAGTTGATATTATTTAATTATATTGATAATGTTGAAGATATTGCAGATGAGTCAAATTTGAGTTAAAAAATACATTTGAATAAAAAATGTTCGGATATTTTTTGATATCTTGTATTCAAGCAACACAATTTAGGATCGATTTTTTTCCCATCAATAATTTGTTCACGTCTAGACTCTAGTGTCATATTACTACTGGTCAATCCAATATTTAGAACATATAATTTATTAGGGTGTGATTGTATACGGATTTGACTGGTTTTTTATTAGTTTTTTTGTTAACCATAGTTAATTTTGAAAAAAGTTGGTATGATTAGTTGTTAGTGGGAGTTTAAGTTTATATTAAAATAAATAATTGAAGTTGATTTGATGAAAAAATATGAAATAGATGGTATGGAGTGATGGCTAGTTAAAATTATGTGAGTGGATGAATAGTGAAGGTGAGTTAAAGGTGAAGTTAATTGAGGATAATTAAATTGAGTTAAAGATGAGTTAAATTTGAGTTTTGATTGATTCTAGATGAATTTATATCCAATCACACCCTTAGAATTCTAATATGACTTAATTTATGGAGCCATGGAGGGTTGAATTAATTAATATTGATACTAATTGTGTTTTACGTAAGATTTTCTATAGTTATAATCTTTCTGCTATGATAACCCTTTTACACTGTTATCTTAATTTATTTATTAAAAATTAATATTCTAGGAAGAGGTGGGGATTCTGGTTCGAGATCTGCTAAATGCTGGGCCACAACACGCCCCCGTGCGCCTTGGCCAAATTCTATATGTTTGTGCCACAAATGCACTTGCTCGTGCGACTCTTGGGAGGCGAGTGTTTGGTGGTGTCGATGAGAAGTCGGAGGAGTTCAAGGGTATGGTGGTCGAGCTCATGGTTCTATCGGGCGTGTTGAACATAGGCGATTTTATTCCTGTGCTCGAGGGTTTCGACCTGCAGGGCGTGGTATCTAAGATGAAGAAGCTACACAATAAGTTCGATACATTTTTAAGCAAGGTGATTGAGGAGCGCAAGGCCGAAGGCCTACATGGAGCCGTGGAGCAACACATGGACTTATTGGGGGCTTTGATCTCGATGAAAGATGTCGATGACGGCGAGAAAGGAAGACTCACCGAGATCGAGATCAAAGCCCTACTTTTGGTAAGTGACCTCTCAATCATTTATGAATTAATTAATAATATTAGCTCTTATTTTATTTAAATAAATAATTTTTTTATTACACGTGTGTGTTGATTAACAATAAAAAAAAAGAAAGAAAGAAAAAAAGAACTTATTTAAATATAAATACACCCAAAATAGAGATTATAGGGGGTGAGAATATCTAACCGTTTATGATATAGGGATTAGGTGAGGATGCCAAATCCTATTCCTTTCTATCTT